GAGACAATGTCCCCACTCGCAGCCGGCCGCCCCTCCTGCGCGCATCCACGCGGCCCGCGGGAAAGCGCGGCGCCCTCCCCCCCGCAGCCCCGGGCGGCCCGCCGGGGGCGCGCCTTTGCGCTCGGGGGCTCGCGCCCGCTACGGCCTGAACCCGAGGAAAGTTTTTTTAGTTCCGCTTGCAATGAAACTTTTCTCTCTCCCTCCCTCACTCTCGCTCTCTCGCTCTCTCGCTCTCTCTCTTTTTTTTTTTTCCCCCTCTTAACCCGGGATAGGGGGGGGAAATGCACGACTTGCCTGAGCCTAATCGGGCCCAGCGCGGCGTGAGGGAGCCGAGCGAGCCGGAGCAACTATTATCCGCTTCTCTCCGAGGGCTGCTGCGCACTCGCAAAACGCGGACTGGACTCGGCCCCCGGCGCCGCCGCCGAGCGCACGCCCGCTCGCCCCGCTCGCCTCGCACTGCCTCGCCCGGCCTGGCGCGGAGGACCTGGCCCGGGGGAACGAGCCGGGGAGGACCGGCTGCCGGCTCTCGGAGCCCGAAACTGCTCGGTCCCCTCGTGCCTCCGGTCTCCCTGCCAACCCGCGGGCCTGTGTTTGTTTTCACGTCTAAAGGGAGCGCTACGAAGGTGGAAAACGAGTCTGACGAGCAGACAAAAGAGGGAGAATGGGCTGGGAAGCAAAGTTGTCTATTGGGCCTCAGTGGTAGTGAGGAGCCGGTGGGGAAGGGAAACATTTAGGCAGGCCCGACAAAAGCACTCCGTCTCTCTCAAGAGTTATGTAATTTTTCACAACCTTGGCCTCTGCGCCTGGATTTCAGGTCATCGGCGTAATTCCCACAACTTCATCCAACTGAGAAATTAGGAAAGACTTAAGTGAAGGTTAAGCCGCAAAGACTGCTGTGCCGTGTACACAGCAAGCGCTCAATAATTGCTTATGATTCACCACTCCAATCCCCAAGGTGATGTTTATATAACTCTTTTTAAAGGCACCGGAAGTAGGAATGAAAACTAGCATTCCCCATGGAATGAATGAATATATATATTGCATTTGGGTGTCCTTGCGAGTGTGTAGTGCGTTCAGGAGACGTTTAACTATTGGTGCAAAAACAGCGACAGCTAAGGTTTATCTTGGGTCTTCATAAATCTACACGATGCCTTTCATCATATTTAAGAGGTTAATGTGTGCAATTAACCCTCTTGATACGAGTTCATTTCTAAGTAATGGGGAACAAAACCAAATAGATGTATTTAATAAACATAAAATCAATAATAATGCAAACAGTCTAATCCCAAAGCAGAAATCCGCAGTACTTGCCCATTTTAAAAAGATACCTATTGTTTTAGCAGGATAATGTTTTACATGCTATTATCATGCAGTAACTAACCTCTTGACTGCCTCTGGTATCCATACTTTTTAACCTCAGTTGTGCTAGGGTGAACTGATTTGTGTTAAGAGAAGGCATTTGAAACCAAAGCTTCCCAGAGGTCAGGCTGAAGGGATATGCTAGACTCCAGTGCACTGTACTTTTCCAAAATCATTCTTTAGCCGCTCATAAAAGCTATTTTAGTTTATGTCAATTGCCATGGCTGTTTGCTAGGCCAAGTGTAAATATTTTACATGGCTAAATAGAAAATTCTAGATGTTGTGTGGGGTGTAGTAATGACTAAATGGGGAGAAGAGAAATAATATACACAAGGGTCACTGTAGAGTATAGGAACAGTCCATGACTATAGAAACAGCTGGAAAGCAGGGTGTACAGCCATGTGTGCGAGGGGATAACAGCCATAAGGTGACTTTGTGCCAAGTCATTCTTCGGTTTTTGCCAGAAGAACACTTCGTCTTATTACCATGCCTTTTTTGACATTTTCCCCCAAGATCTTCTCTTTCTGTATTTGAATGTGTACTAATTATAGGGTTATACTACACTTTGGATTTTCAAAGTTTTTTATACACAAATAGAAATATATGCCTGTTTTGTATATATGTCTATCGACATATTCTAAAATCAATTACATATTTATGCTTTTAGACATTTACAGCCAAACTAAATATATACATATAATCATAAAAGTGCATTTTTTCAAACAAGTAGAATATATCAAAGTCAATTCAGACAAGCCATATGTTGTAACTTATTTTCACAACCATGCCTAAAAGAGAAAATGAGTCACCAAGTTCAGTTCTGGCCGATTTCTTAGAAATATTTTCTTTTTCATGTCAAAACCATGAAAGTTAAAAAAAGAAAGAAAGAAAGAAAGAAAAAGAGAGAAAAGAAAGAATTATGTGAGTGAAATCTCATTTAACCTCAAGTCAACTGAAAGAGTGGAACCAAGAGGCAATAAAATAGAGGCGCCCAGCACCAGGAAATCAACCTGCTATAAAGGGCGACACATGCCACTTTTTTCCTCCCGGTGGCAGATGCCACACCCTAAAAGCAGACAGAAGGCACAGCAGCCTGCAGGAGTGCAGGAGCACAAAGCCTGCAGGACTTGGTTTTGTCTTTCCACAGAGAATGCTAAACTGTCTTTTAAAATACGTCTTTGCTGAAGATAAATCATGGACTCCTCTACATTCAAGTTCCCAGCACACCTCCTTGGGAAAGCATAACAAAAGTATCTTAAAGTTTCCGGGAACACCCCCCTCCCCCCCCCCCCACCCCGTGCTTGATAAGGAAAATGGCACTTGCTGGGGTTTGTTATAAAATAATGAAACAAGCTCACCATTCAGCAAAGTGCAGTCTCAACCCTAGTTTATTTCCCTGGCCTGGCCCATCCTGTGTGGCAGCTCAGCCTTGACTCTTTTGGTGCAAAGGAGCAATAGAAATCTCCGCCATGGGTTTGTCTTAATGAGTCCCTTAATCTTACACCTCTTGTGCCTAAATTTCAAGCCCTAATGACACTTGTGTTTTTGCTGTCACCACAAGGAAGCCTTGGGGGTGGCAAGCTGCTGGTGGCCTTGACCGAGTTGTAGTCCTCAGCCAACCTCCCACCCACGGTTCTCCCCAGCCCTTCGTGTGTAGCCAGAGGATTACCCATTATTTTGTTAAACATGCCTTTCTATTACAAAAGGTTTTCTCTGTCCCCCTCTGACTATATGGAAATATTAATATTCAAATACCGCGTCTTTTGAATAAGTTTTAGGGCGCTGAATGAAAGGCCCTTCAACTTGCCCACTGAACGAGAATTGAGCCAGATGGTAGTTTTAAGAACCCCACAGTTTTGTTCCTTTTGCCTCTCCAATGCCCGTCGCACTGTTTGCTCTCAGATTAGCCCGTTTTACTGTTCTCCTTATTTACTCGGTGACTGAAGCAATCACGATTCACTGCCCGTCATATTTCTCAGTATTCTCTCTGTAATTTGGAAGCAATTTGGAATAAAGCCCTGTCAAGGTTTTACAAATAAGAACTATTAAAGAATAAGGCTTTGGATACTTGCTTTCCTTTTAGATTTATGAGAGATGCGGTGAATGGGGCTAATGGGATTTCCCTACTGATCTTGGTCAGGGACTTTAAAAAGCACTAAACAATTGTCCTATTCACATCCCAGATTTAGACGTTAGCAATGAATAACTCTGAGTCGGCGCAGGATATGGGCTCTACAGCGGTTGGATTGGAAACAGTTATGCAAATCATCACTGGCCTGTAAGTTCAGAATGCTAAACAATTAGGTAGTGGAAGGGGGGAATTGAGAGGGACAGACAGGAATAGGCAACAAATATTTTAAAACAATTTGGCCAACAGCAGCAGCATTATATTTGTTGAAGAGATTAAAGCAGGCACAGTAACCAGTGTGGGGATAAGTTATACCTGATTGTCCAACGGACTTGGAATCTAGTTCAGGCAGCATCCAGAAAAGAAAACCTTGTTACCTGAGCCCAGTCCTGAATAGGGATCAACTATGAACATTTGCACCCAAACCCTTTCATGTTCTAGGCGACTTGACCACTGAAGAACTGAGTTCAGATTTCCTCACCCGAGGGCACCTAACTCAGCTGTTCATGGCTGGCAGCCCCTACCAGGGATCTACACAGCTCCTCGGACACTAAGACCACCAGCTTATCATTAGGCCAGTACAGTGTGTCTCCAAAGACCCTGAGAACACAGTGTTGGCCGTGAACCATACGAAGGTAGACCTTACTGCATTGTAATGCGTTGTACTTTATCAGCTCTCTACATTTTGATTGATGTGTAATAAATATTTTTATTGCAGCCTTGTGTGTAACTGCTATATAACATATATATCTGCCTTCATTCCTTTTACCATTATTGAGAATTACAGAGTATTGCTAGTGTTTTTCAACATTTGCTCCTCAACAGGAGTACTGGCAAATGCCTATGGCCCCAACTGCTGAGGAGGCTGAAGCCAAAGGATCACAAGTTTGAAGCAACTTCAGTAAGACCCTGTCCAAAAGATTTAAAAAGCCTGGCGATAATAGCTCAATGGTAGAGTGCTCTCCTACCGTGTTCAAGGCCGTGGGTTCAAGCCCCATCACTGGAAAAGCAGTGTGTGTGTTCTTCCGTTGATCGTTACTGTCATTCAAATGCTTCCCATCACCAGTGAGATGCCGCTTGTCTTGAATCACTTTATAAATCACTGTAACTCCTCAAAAATAAATACTTGGCTAGTAAACATATTTGATATAATGCATAATAACCACTTATACAAGAGAGTCATTCGGGAGTCCAATCAACTCCATTTCTGTCACTTAATCTGAGGGCTTTCCCGGTCTTTTTCACAGATGTGAATAATTGCTTTATAGTACATATGGACCATGAAAATAAAGCCAGTTTTCAAGCCATTCCTTTCAAAAATGAATTCCAAATGGGCTATATGCACTAATGCGGTGCGTTCCTCGTTTTCAATGTGAATACACTTGCTTCCGGCCTCGTCCCATTGTGAAAGCCAATGGTCACCTTTACAGGATGCGTTAGTGACAGGCTCCCGGTTGTACTGGTATGTGCCGAGGGACTTAGTCCTACCTTTCTCTTACAGAAAGTGACATAATTTCACTGAGGAATTTCCTTCTTGGTGCATATCCCCCAAAAATGTATGTTGTTAATTACAAGGAATTGTTTCTTCACAAAACTTAAAAGTATTTCTCATTGTACCATCTTATTCTAAGATGTAAAATTCTGTGACCTCTCTCTTGTATCTTCAGATGAGTCTTTAAAAAGAAAATAAATTTCCTTTCCTTTTAATTTTATGTGTAGGACTGTTTTCTTTACATGTATGTCTGTGCCTGGTGCCCAGGGAGTTCAGAAGACAGTATCAGCTCTCCCCTCGCCCAGGAACTGGAGTTATACATGGTTATGAGCCTCCACATGGGTGCTGGGAATCGAACCGGGTCCTCTGGAAGAGCAGTGCTCTTAACCATCTCTCCAATCCATAGATGAGTCTTAAACTGCTACAGGGTAGGTGACCATCTTTCCCAAGGGATATGAGTGCTGAAAGATTCCTCTCTCTGAGTATAAACCATGAGGAGTATCCAGCCAAACCCATTCGATCTCAGCCCAAGGAGTACCCAGCCTTTAAGCTTTGGCGGCTCTGAGGCCACCGTTAAAAACAAGGAGAAATAACTGACTGTACTCACTGTACCTGCTCGACATTAACCAGATACTCATGCAAACAAACGGAATTGCCAAGTGATGACAGCTGTAGGAGGAAAAGGTTCAAGGCCCTAGGAGGGCATCAATTACGATCACTAGTGGGATCTGGGCTGTGAGACTGTTTTCCCCAAAGGCCTGGGCTGACCGGTTTTTTTGTTTGTTTTGTTTTTGTTTTTTTCAAGACAGAGTTTCTCTGTATAGCCCTGGCTGTCCTAGAACTCACTCTGTAGACCAGGCTGGCCTTGAACTCAGAAATCTGCATGCCTCTGCCTCCCAAGTGCTGGGATTAAAGGCGTGTGCCACCACCGCCTGGCTAGGGCTGACCGTTTTAAAACAAGGTAAAATCAAAGCGACAGGTTGCTTCCAGGTGTAGCTGCCACACTTGGTCCAGCAGGCCTAATTACATCAGGGTTTTTATCTTAAGAGAAGTACCTGAAGTCTGTTAGCAAGGTTGGGGGTGGAGTACTGACAGCAGACCTGGGTTAAGGCAGGAAAGCAATAACTGCTGGGAAGATAGCACATGTAGAGCCAGAACTAGGCTTCTGATTCAGAATCAAATCCCACATGTCCAGGCTTAGGTTTCCCAGGCTACCAAGTCCTGATCACACCCGTCAAGATCAGATGAAGGTTCCAGAATCTTCCGATGGTGAGAAATAATCAAAGACGGTCATAAACGTCAGTTCATCTTGCCAGGCGTTGTGGTGTGCTCATTAGTTTTTTGGTCACCTTGATACAAACTAAAGTTATTATGGAAGAGGGAAATTGAACTGGAAATCCTTAGCCTTAATTCCTGCCTCCAGATTCCTGTCTTGAGTTCCCTCCTTGTCTTACCTCCATGACACACTGCAACAGTAAATGGAAATGAACCCAATTTTTTTCTCCCCAAGCTGGTTTTTGCAGGGTGGTCTGTCACAGGAATTAAAAAAAAAAAAATAGTAGGACATAATTAGTTGATTGTGCCAAGTGTGGGAGTTCACACATTTAATCCCAGCATTCAGGAGGTAGGACCAGATGAATCTCTACGAGTTTAAGGCCATTCTGCTCTACATAGAAGGTTCTAGGACAGCCAGGACTGCATAGTGACTCACTGCCTTAATAACAACGATAACTTTATTTTGATGCTTGCATGACTAAAACCTGGATGCAGTCACCTCCAAAGTCAATATGATACAAGTGTAATAGACCTCACATGTAATGGACCCCAAGATCTGTTCTTTTTAAATGAATTCATGGGGCTCTATTTACACTGGGGCCTGGTGTGATCACACGGCTAAAAACAAAAGCCATGATGTACACTTCTTAGCTCCAGCTCTAGGATTAAATGTAGAACCTACGTTGACAGGAACCCCAGCTTTAGAATTTAGACTTCTTTGCAAACGGCTCTCCAAGTAACCTGCCATGACGGGGGCAGAGTTCAAGTAAGAAATGAAAGATGGTGAAGTTGGATGAGACAGGAAGCTCATGGGAGAAGAAATAAGTAAACGGACCTCAAAGATCAGCTTTTTTTTTTTTTTTTTTGGTTTTTCGAGACAGGGTTTCTCTGAGTAGCCCTGGCTGTCCTGGAACTCACTCTGTAGACCAGGCTAGCCTCGAACTCTCAAACTCAGAAATCTGCCTGCCTCTGCCTCCCAAGCGCTGGGATTAAAGGTGTGCGCCACCACTGCCCGGCCAAGATCAGCTTTTTAACGTGCAGGTTGTTCACTAATTGAGGCCAAGGAGGTGGATAGGGAGTATGGCTCAGCCAGAACTCTGATGACAACTCTAGAATCATGGCACAGAACTGAGCCCTCCAGAGAGTGGCACATCTTTTTTCCCTCCTTCACAGAGGACTTCCTATGCTGTGAATTCAGCACTGATGATTTTAGAGACAGAATAAATAAGGCAGTAATCGGGTAGAAAGATGGGGGTGGGGGTCTCACCTCTGGCTTTTTTTCCTACTTTTTCTTCCTAGCCAAATCAACAAATTTAGAATGTTGGAGACTACAGTGCAGCCCACCCTCACTTCATCCATCCCTCCTACCGCTACCCTCTACCCACCTGCTGATGTTCTGCTAACCGACTCTGCTCACGTTAGACTCTAAACCTCACTGAAACTTTGAAGTCCAGGGAGCTGATGTGGCAATTCATATCCACACAGAAAACTTCTGTTGTCTGGGAGCCTTCTCTTTATGTCAAAATTTGTGAGACTGAATTTGTGTAGCCAGCTTTGCATCCGTAGAACAAAATAACTGAGGTGGAGAACTTGTAAAGAGAAAGGGCTGGGCTCACAGGTGGTGGGTTCTGCCCATGGTCAGATGGCTTGGTTGATTTGGGGCTGCGGCGAGACAGCACATCGTGGCAGCAGGGGTTCGGTCAACCAAGCTGCTCTCCTGGCCAAAGAAAAAGTAAGTTAAGGAAAAGAAGAGGCGTGAGTTCCATTATCCTCTCCATGACCTGGAGACCTCATTACCCTCTGTCCTTTGAAGTTTCTAGTGCCTCTCAGTAGTACCACATCGGAGACCAAGCCTTTAGGGGACATTCAAGATCCAATCCCAAAGCACAGATGACCCATCAAAATAAATTAACTAAACATGTCCATCGACAGGTGCATCGCTTCTTCAGTCCCTCAGTGGAGAGATGGAGACAGGAAGATCCCTGGAACTCACTGGCCAGCTTCAGCTAGTTGGTGAGCTCTAGACCAAAAGCAAGGTTGGCAGCTACTGAGGTACAACACCCAAAACTGATCTCTAGTATACACGAAACATGTGTGGTAACATGCACGCGCATGCACACACACATACACACAGGCATGAACATATGCACATCAACACAAACTTACTCAAAAGGAGAAGGAATAAAATTAAGGCAGAATTCTTATGTTTCTCTTTACTTAGGAAATGCAGAAGAATATTCCCAAGAGGCCAGCTCTACCTGTTATTGTAATGTGAATGCTGAACTGTGTTCAGTGGCTGCTGCTCTCAGAAACTAACTATGCCAGATATCCTTTCTCCACCTCAAGATAAATTACCCTTGTTAACAAAGGACCAATGCCATTTATGGCCACCAACTGTTTGTTTGTTTGTTTGTGTTTGTTTGTTTGGTTGGTTGGTTTTGAGACAGGGTTTCTGTCTCCATGTAGCCCTGATGGTCCTGGAACTCAGGCTGACCTCAAACTCAAAAAGACCTGCCTGCCTCTGTCTCCGCCTCTGGCTCCGCCTCCGCCTCCGCCTCCGCCTCCGCCTCCGCCTCCGCCTCCTGAGGGCTGGAATTAAAGGCATGCGCCACTGCCGCCCAGCTGGGCCCTCAGATTCTTGGCACTTGAGTACCTCACGTACAGTCCTACCTGCATGTGTCTAGCATGATACTTGTTTATAAACAGCCTAAGGATTGCAGCTGGTTCCCTGAGGCTGACCCCGAGGGAAACAATGCAAAATATTAACCCCCTCGCTGGAGGACAGTAGAACCTCCTGTGGTTTTTTGAAACCAGACCAATGCCACTTGTAGAAAATCCCACAGACTATTTTAGGTGAACTTTTTTTTTTTTTAATCTCATTAACTTCTTGCCATATGCTGTTTGTTTTGTATACCCTTCATAGGCTGAAAGAGAAAATAAACCAGACCACTGGGTTTCATCTCAGAGATGTGTTTAGAATGACACACTCTGTGGAATTCCCTCAAAAATAAAAATGATTTTTTTTTAAAAAAAAGCACTTAAGAATGATTTATGGAAAATATTATTTTTAAAACAGGCCAGGAGGCAAGCAGGGAAACCTCTTCCCACCCACATAGAGCATGTTAGCCATTAGATTCTCCAGCATCCACTGGCAGAACTCAGACTCATAGCCCAGCTCCATGTGTTCAGTGTGGTGTTTGAAAGCTTACCCATCCTTGCGGAATCTGAGTACCAGGATATATATAAAACAGGAAAATACTAGGCTGGGGATGTGCCTAGCATACAGGAAACCTCGGGTTTGATCCACAGCACTGAATAAACCCAAGGTGGTGGTCCACACCTGTGATTTCAACAGGAAGCGGATACAGAAGTTCAAGGTCATTCTCAGCTACATGGAATTTCAAGGCTAGCCTGGGCCACATGAGATCTCTGTGTCAAAGATACAAAGAAAGGAAGGAAGGATAAAAGAGAAAGGTAGAAAGGATGCTAAATGCTATTTAATTCATAGGATAAGTGAAAGGCTATATAAATCATTTAACACATAGCTTGGGATTAAATAGAGAATTTCCAAACGTCCTTTCTGTTGTAAGATTTCAGGAAACTAGATATACTATAAACAACACCAAACATCCTTTCTTGATTAAAATTTCTCCATTAAAGATATATGAATTTATTCCTTTCTCCAAGAGACTTAATCCCTGTTAAGATAGAATTTTGCTTTCAACAAGCTTTCTCTCAGCTATGTAACTCATTATGAATCTATTTCCTGGGGCTGAGGGTGGTAGCTCAGGGGTAGAGTGTGTTTCTAGCAAACCTGATGCTGTGAGTTCCATTCCTGATACAAATTAATTAATTAATATTCCCTTTCTCAGCATTCCAAGATATATGTGGGCAGACAGAGGGCTCAGTGGGTTAAAGTGATTGCAGTGAAAGCATGAGG